ATATTCATGCGGACAGGCACTCAAATACGGCGTACGGTTCTCAACGAATCCCGGTTCTAAGCCTTTGCGGGTAAAGGCAACACGAGGTCTTATGGGGTAGGGTTTTCTTTTTTCAGGTGTTATCCAAAAATTATGGTCAAACGGGAGCGGTGGCGTCTTTCAACAAAGACAAACGAGCGGGAAACAGCAGGAGCATATCCTGCTGACATCTTTTTGATTTTTCCTTTTCCTTTTTTTCCGACTCTGATAAAAGAGCGAATGCATTATGAGAGATACCCTTCGGAATGTTCGAAAGGGGCAAACAAACAAAGCATCTACATTGGCGTTAACGGGGAAACAAAAGAACTTCAACATCTTTTCTTTCCTGGTTTTCTAGCCGATCCATCTCTTGCGGTTATGGCACAATGGCTGGGGCTGGGAGAAAGGGGGTACGCCTTCTGGCGGCTCTATGGGTGTGGGGAGGTTTGTAGATAGGTAGACCATTTGGCTACTCGAATAGAGAGAGATTCTCGGATACCTCGCGCTGTATTATCCACAACGTGATCTGCCACCAGTACGTTTGGAGACAGCCTGTTTTCCCTGGGCTAGAGGTACTATGTTTCCCGTATATTTAAGTTACTCCGACCAGGGACGATAGTAGACGGCGACGAGAGACGACGAAGACGATAATAACAACAGCGATCACAACAACGGTAACGACGATACTAGCTATAAAGTACATACGCACCTACAGGCAAAATAGTCGCTCTAGCACAGGAAAGTTAGGCAGTCTCTGGACTTGTCATCCTGCGTAAAGCTCACCGCTTTATAGAACTTTGAAGGCAAGGAATGTCGTCGTCTTGAGGGCTAAGTCTCAACATTGAATGGAACACTTGTTTCTCAACGGCATGACGCACAGCGCACGCCATGCCGCCAACCGTTGCGTCTAACCCATCCGGGTGGACGGTCTCGTAATATATGTTGGTCTGAGCTCTGTCCATCGGAGTCAGCTCCGCGTGGGGTAGGTAGTCTCGCAGAGACGTCTGGATAGGTTCGTGATGGCGTGCTTTTGGGATGTGGTCCATACATGCGCCACTTCATGCCGCGCAAAAATTCAATATCTCGTGAGACTCGGGCTGTCGTACGCCTCCGATGATGCTGACATCTAGGCAGACTAAAGCTTAGAGCTGAGAGACAAGTTTCCCCGGCTCTTCTTGTTTGAGGTGGCGGGATTTGGGTGGCCATTCACCAAGCCCAGTACGTCAACCCCTTACCGCTCTCGTAATCTCCTGTTAAACGGTCCCACGCTGAGGTTTTGACTAGCTCATCAGGAGATTGTCACAAAGTCGCTTGGACTTGGACTTGAGGACACAGACTTAGATGGAGAGCTATTCCAGACCCAGCCCTAAAGATTCTAAGGGAAAGCTTCCGAGATACAAGTAAATATGCTCATTATTCACCACAAGAAGACATCATGGCTTTGGGACGAAGAATGACAATACTTCAAACTTGAGATAAGTAAAGGGCGAAACGAAAATAAGCAGTACATAAAGGATGCGTACTCTACTACCTCTGTCACTACTCTAAAGTTGTGCAAGTAAGAGTAAAGGGGGTTAATGGCAGGTAACACCATACTCAATCGTTCATGCTGCAGGCGCGGAACAAGGATACTGAAGGCATGCTTTCAGACCACCTCGACATGGTGAACCACCTATATCAAGGCCTGGTAACTTCGTCTTGCCGATTATCGCGGTGAGGCTGACTAGAGGCTGATTTCAAGCTACTAACAACTGGATATCCAATCCACGCAGGGCCTGTAGACTCGAGGTGCAAAACATCCAGCTTAGTTTCTTCTCTTCAATGTCTCAGAGCAAGCTGCATGGCATATTCCGGTAGCAGTAGCAGCTAGATTTAGTCCTGTTTACCAGCGGCAGCGTCATCTTACCTGCTCAAGAGCATCAAAGCCTCGAGTCGACCGCTGAAAGATACTCAAAAACCATTCATCGATAGTTACGGCCGGAGCATCCACCGTCGACCGTCGACCGTCTTCCTTGCATGGTGACAATTCGATGGACGACGAATTTTCCCAAACCCAACCTGAAGCTTGTGCAACTGTCATGATCCGGACCAACAAGAGAACTCCAGTCACATCTCCTGTGATGAGAATGTCGAGAAACCTTCGTGTCACCCAAACAACCCAATTTCACGGCCGGGGATTTTGTATCACGCCCGGCCGGGCGTCAACAACAATCGAGCCAGCACGAGCCTTGGGGCAGCCTTGCCTTTTTTAAACAAGCATTGTGTACCACTTCGCCGAACGGCAGTTTGCGTTTCTTAACACCTCGGTTGGAGAACCCCTTCCCTTGCGGTAGTCTTCTTCGGGGAAAACTGGGGGAGCAAGGGCGGTGCGACGCACTACATTCGAGCCGGACTCATTCATATAGGAGACGTCACTGACACGCAACAGGCGGTTGCTCCGGCTTGCTCTGGACAAAGCATCTGTCTGTGTCTGGTCTCAGGTGGCGCTCTTGCATAGCCACCAGTCGAGTTTCGAAGAGGAAGGCTTTTGGGCATCACTTGAGCCCAAGGCTGGGTCCCTATGTAAGCGAGTGCGAGAAGAAGCGACGGTATCGCAACCCCGGCATGGTGCCGGACCAGCGCCAGTGTGCCTGGCACGCCGTTGTCGATCCCGGGTCTTTGGCGGCGTTTCTCTCGACGTGACTGGGTTTTGATATGGCTATCGACCCGATGGCATGGGCGTGGGTCTGGCCATGGCTCGTGGCTTGCGAGGGGAGGAGGTGCAAATCACTGCGCTAACTAAGGGGGGTCACCGTGGAAAGACTGACATCAGCAGGAGGCATATCCTAGTCTGACCTTCCATAGGGTGCGTGGCTGGAGAAGAGAATGGTCAATACACAATGGCATGCATGTACGGGGTTGTAGCGCGCATCATTATGAGATAGGCGTCCATGTAAAAGGCAAAGGTGACTGACATGATTTGACATGACCTGACGTAATACCCGAATAGCATCGGAGCAAAACAATTTGCGCCACGACTACTTGTGCCAAAGAACATACAGGCTTACCCGCCCCGGGTGAACGCAGTACGCGCCGTGTATGTTTGTTGTTCTCGGGAAATGCCCGCCCTGGTCCTGCTCTCAAGGCAGTTGAACATGGAGGCCACAACCAATGCCTGCGTGTACATATTTCATATGCCGATCAACGGTTAGAAGGATGAATTGGACCAGCCGAGGTTGAAGTTCTGGAAATGAGACTGTCCTGGTCCCTGTTCCTGCGATACCAAAGGTTTCCAGCAGTAGTTGATCCATAAGTCTCCGAAATCGACCCGGACCACCAATAGCAAAGTAATCCTACCGCTACCTTCGGAGATGAGATTGGCCGCGGTGACTGGTGTATTCGTAGAGCCCATTCTCACCAAGGACTCAAGAATCAGCTATTCATTTGACTGAACCATCCTCGTTGGTGGTATACATGGTGATCTGGCAGGAGCAGTATGACCGGCCGGGGTGGTGGACACATCCTTGGGCTAGTTTTGGGGTGGCCGGAGATGCGGCAGGGGATAAAGCCCCAAGAAACTGGTCAATGGAAGAGCATCCAGGCCTGCGTCAGGCCTGCCTGAGCTGTTGATGGGGATCACGGGCTGAAATGCCTTGGCTCAGTAGGTGGCCCAGTCCACGGGCGGCCGACGGGTGTGGTTCTGGCCACGGGGCCGGTGGTTGGAAGATGCTAGGTTCAGCGCCACGTAGACGGCGAACAATAGGAAGTAAGTGCAGGGACAATGGCAAGAGACTTCGGCGAAGTGGGGCATTTTCCGTGCCGCCCGGCGCGGTGGGCAACTTCATCCCCCAACCCCTATCCCTTGTTCCACACCATTAGCAGCGCAACTTTCCAATGACAACAATAACTTGCCGATGCATTCATCCGCGGGCCGTCAGATGCTGCCAGTCCGGGCTGTGGTGCGGTGTCTTTTGCGCGATCTCGTTTATTCATTGGATCTGTTGGTTGTAAGCCTGCAGGCATACTAGTTTCCACGTTTCCTATCCGTGTCGAAAGACCCCCTGGTAAGAGCGGCCAAACAATGTGGAAGTGATTCTCAGGCCCTGCGTCTGCATCCTTATCGGCTGCTCGTGTCACTCCATCGCATTTCTGTACTAAGTGTTGGGGCAGCCTGCCATGTACGATTGCAGACAGGGGAATTGGAATTCAAGCTAAGAACGCGGGTGGTATGGCTCAGCCATGGGGACAATCGTGGGAAGCGGTCTGAACCTTGCTTCACAGCCAGATTGAAGTTAGCAACAATGCGAGAGAAATCGCCAGGGCCTATCCTGTGGGACCAAACCGAACGCCTGGGGACTTTCAGGTGGACTAAAACTTCAAGAGGGGGTTGTGCGGTGTTGATGAATCCCAGAACAGGGAGACGCTGTAGGATGATGCATGGTCAATGTCACAAGACTGCTAGCCTTTTTTTTTTTTTTTTTTTTTTCCCCATTCCATTATTGTGAGCGCCTACATTGTGTTTTTGGACCGGTTGGGTGCTGATGCCTCACAACCATGACCTAAGGTACGTTCTGCTCACTTTCCTGTTTGACACATCCCCGCTACAGAAGCTGGCCCTTCCTCCCTTCCGCATGGACTGACTTTTCGATTGTCTTGAGGTATATAATCATGTTGCAGCCACTTCTTCCATAAGATTCCTGTTCTAAAGCTTACCCCACGATATCTTTCCCGTCCTCCTTGAACTTGATCGTTCAGTTCGTCGCGATTGTGTATACCTGCCATCAATGTACACAGATTGGCATCTCGCAGCACCCATCTGGCCTACTTCAAAGTCATCTCATCCCCAACAATTACGCCCGACTATGGATTCTGAAACACCGAAAATACGAACCGAACGCTTGTCCATCGTTACTGGCCTTGGTTCTTCGCCAACCCTCAAAGAAACCCAATCATGCCCTTCAGAGGAGCCTCCAGCTTACACGTCGACGATGAAGCCAAGCATCATGGATAGCCTTGCTGCCTACCTCTCCCGACGTTCCAACTCATACGGAACCGGAACCGCTCCCCATAGAGTCGCGCCATACCCTGAGGTGTCATTCTCGAGCCAATTCAGCGACGAAGACCACGAGGAGTTGTCGCCAATCTCGCTGCGTATTTCCACGCGCATCAATATAGCGTCTGATGGCAATCTCATCGCACTACCCTCTTCCCCATCCGAGCAAGCCAACTCTATCGCAAGGGCCGTCGTCGAAGCAATTCAGGGCCAGGATTGGGCGACCGGACTACCCATGATAGATGAGAACGGACGGCCAAGACCTTTGAAGCTGGAAGTCGATGCGGGTATGACCATCAAAGGTTCCTCCAATGTCATTGGCACCGAATCAACAATCAACGAGATCATTCGTCAAAGGACACCCACACAAAAGTGGACGCCACCTTCGCCCTCGCAAAGTACAGAATCATCCGCAACAACCTCACCTTCATCACCGAAAAGGAGACGGCGTCTGTCAGACTCGGCACCTTTGGAGCAGACCCGCAGCAAACGGGCAAGGCACGACGTATAACCCTTCTGGCGGCTTTCCCACTTCCGATAGAGATTTACCAACGACATGTCTTGAAGCTTCTTATTACCATTTTGTCCACTACAGCTTGAAAATTGGGCTTTATGCGGTCGTCAGCAGTCCTCCTGACTGCAGGAGTTGGTGGGGAAAAGATCCAGGGCTTTTAGATTTCATCTTTCAACTACACATATTTGCCTTTTCAGACTTCAATATATACTTCTGCGATTATTTACGTCCATGTACTTCTTCTTCATTCTTCTGCTCTTTTGGTGTATTTCACTTGCTTGATTCATTGTCGACCATTCCAGAGGCCTATGGAGTAGACTTGCAACCAATGCAACTACAAGGATGACACGGACAGAGGCCGAAGCACACGGGATGGGTTCCGCTGTCTCTAGTTGCCTCCTTCCCGTCCTTGCCTTTTCTTTCCTCCCGCTTGCGATGGTGGTTGGCTGGATCCACACCACCTGTTTGCTCCGTACACGGAGTCGTTCTTCCAACTGTCTGGCACCGCATGGCAATGCCTGTTCGAGAGGGGTATCGTACCAGCGCCTGATTCTTGTTCTGTGCCTTGCTTTGTCTAAAAGGACCGCGCTTAATTGAACGATCCTTCACATGTGCGTCGGTGCCGAGGTTCGGAGGCGCATCCGCGCGGAGATGGGAGCAAACAAATACTCACATCTGGCCACCCCGGACGGGAATACTGCCTCATGTGGAAGAGGATACAGGCGTTATTGGGTGCCGGATCGTCGGGTACAGCAACCTGCTGCGCTGATCTGATACACATGCTGCGGCTGCCGGTTGACAGGAGCTATGTTTGGCCGCCTCGGGATTTGAGGAGTTGGGCACCGGGCGAATCCCACACTGAAGATACAGAACGGGTTCTGATGCTTTTCGGGGATTGAAAAAGGACTTGACATGCTACTTTGTCGACTTCGCCGCGTCCATTGTTAATTTGAGGGGGTGTTTCTATTTAAATGGTGTCAATTTTGATACACCTCCTTGTGATATTTGCTGATAATTGTACTGCATTATCTTGGTGTTCGTGGCTGACTCCTTTGCCCTTGTCATTCTGTATGATCGTGTCTTGTGGCTGCGCGTCCGTATATGTCGCTTCAGGCATTTGTTGGAGGAAGATCTAGCAACAGCAGAATATCGTCATTAAACCACGTAGATACTTGGTATGAAACTGATAAGAAGTCCTGGTCCATGATTTCATGAATGTTACAAGCTGTGAAATGATCTATAGGTATGGCGAAGTGTGCATGTGTAAACGCAACGATTCGATGGGGCATCGGACGACATGACATCTGCACCGCCTAGTACAAGACCAAAACTGGAGGCTATAAATCCAGGGTTTTCTCCACGGATTCCCCATGTAAGTCGAGATGATAAAGTCATTATGTTGGGTCGGCCCTCCTCCGGTGACGGTTGAGCGGATAAAGCCCACGTCAACGGTAGTTCGCAGGATCCAAGAGCACGGGTCGTGGATGACAGGGATGGTTAAATGATATTAGTGAGTGTGGTATTGCAGACGAATGGACGAGACCCAGACGCAACTTTCTCGTTTAGGCAAATGCGCAATATTCCTCCTCTGTAAAAGGAGACGCGCTTCAACTTCGATGTCAATGGTGTGTCTTATTGGGCGGGTTGCAACACAGTACAGCCGACAAAATTCTCACCAAGTATGAAGCCTGCCAGGTTTGCAGGGTTAACTTGGATGAGGCGCACAGGGTGATTTGATCCGAGTCAAAGCTGAGATATTTCGTCTGACTTCTTGCGTCAATATCAATGACGAGATGCATCGTGGAGAGGTTGAAGGATGGTAGGTTGTCCGAGATCGACTTGAGCGCACGGTAGGCCGTCAGGCCCGCTGTAATCTGCAGCCCATGCTGTTCCCGGAACACTAATGGACGGGAGCTTGAATCACTGCGGCTAAACCGTCCCTTCTTTTGACTTTGACGACTCAAGGCCGACATGAATCTTGGCCTAAACATCTCTAGAACAACGCTTCAACACACACTCCTGCCCTTTCCCCAAGTTCATCCCCTTCTTTGAGTTGCAACTTGCAAGTCGGTCCGAACTGTCGGCCGTCAGCCTCAAACGGTCGTCGCGCGGTCCATCCCTGCTCCAGGTCCGCTCAAGCCAGGGCTGTCCCCCATCCAGAGCTCAGCTCCAGTTGACAACTCCCCGCAGCCCAATGGGCGGCGCCAATTCCTCAGTGCGGCTTTGGTCTGGCACCGCTGTCGAATCACGGCTAGTTTCAGGGCCCGAATGGCCAGCTCTACACAAAACGAGTTGCGCTAGGCGGGGGCCGCATCGCGGTGCTGCAACCTCAGTTGCGCTAGGAAAGCCGCTGCCGGCTTGACTTCCTTGGATTCTGTCGTGCTGAGCCTAGCCAAGCTGAACTTGCGTCAAGACAAGTTGCATCCCACCTACCACCTCCCACCCAGGTTACAACGCCCACCCCACGCTGGTGTCCCTTGGGCCTTTGCAGGACAGCCCAGCAGAAGGGAGACCCATTTTACATGCATGTAACGGCTCCCAAGAACGCCCTCGACGCCTTGAACCCCGTATTACACGCGTACTCGAAGCTGGCCGGGGGGCTCTAAACCCCGTGAAAATCCTCCATCATGGGGTTCTGCCTCTCACTTCCCTTCCCCTCCCCCTCCTCCAACGGAATCCCCTTCGACATGGCGCCTCTCACTATCCGCAATCTGACCTCTCTGCCCGTTACCCTCAAGCGCGTTGAGCGCTTCGAGGGCGAGAAGGTTCGCACCGGAGATGTCTTTGGCAACACCATTGGCACCATTGGCTCATTCTTCAATGCGACAACCTTCACCACGAGGGAGACCGTCGTGAAGGGCGAGTCGCATACCACCGAGGATGTTGATGTCCATGTCCATCCCTTCACCATCAACGGCACGGAAATCAACGCCCCAGAACCCGGCGGCAAGGAGGTCATCCGTCTGCAGTTCGAAATCGAAGGCCACCGTTATGAGATCGACGCCCCGAGCCCCTCCAACCGCTCATCCGTCATGAAGAAGCTCGATGATGCGCCTCTCGAGCTCACAGCCGTCTATGTGTCCTCCGGCGCATTTCTCGCCATCATGTCCTCTGCCAACCTCAACGCCTGGATGCGTGAGCTCCAGGATCACTATCCTCTCCCTCTCCTCTCCATTCCTGGCACGCACAACTCGCCCACATGTCATACAGCTCTTCCCTCGGTGCGATGCCAGGCTGTCAGCGTCCGCGAGCAGCTCGACAACGGCGTGCGCTTCCTCGACATCCGCGTCTCAGCCAGCCAAGACAACGACGATCTGGCCCTCGTCCACTCCGTCTTCCCCATCTCTCTGACGGGCAACAAGTACTTCGCCGACATGCTCTCCGACATCTATGCCTACCTCGACGCCAACCCTTCCGAGACCGTCCTCATGTCTGTAAAGCGTGAAGGCACCGGCAAGGGCACCGACGAGCACCTGAGCCGCTACCTCCGCGACCGCTACGTCGGCCGCGACGCCCACCGCTGGTTCGTCGAGCCGCGCATCCCCCACCTCGGTGATTGTCGTGGGCGCATCGTGCTGATCCGCCGCTTCGGCATCGACGAGTCCCTGCGTGGGGAACACGACGGCAGGGGCTGGGGCATCGATGCGCAGAACTGGCCCGACAACTGCGAGGACGGCACCGTGGGCGGCGGGCTCATCCGCGTCCAGGACTTTTACGAGATCGACCAGTCTACCAACATTGAGAAGAAGATTGACTTCTCGCGCGGCCAGCTGGAACGCGCCGCCGAGCAGTTCTTCCACCTCCCCGGCATGCCAGACTTCAACGCCGACGCCCCGTCGCTGCCCTTTTTCGTCAACTTCCTGAGCGCGAGCAACTTCTTCAATGCCACCTGCTGGCCAGAACGTATCGCGGCCAAGGTGAACCCGTCTGTCATCGAGTACCTGTGTATGTGTCACGGTGAGCAGGGCAAGGGGCCCAATCAGCTCAACATTGGCGACGCCGCAACTGGCATCATTGTCACAGATTGGGTTGGAGCGCATGGCGACTGGGATTTGATCAGATGTATTGTTGGGATGAACTCGCGGCTGCAGCTCAAGCATTAGGTACGCAGGGGCTGCATTTTACGAGGCATTGGCGCAAAGGGACACGGTAGACATAAAGGCAGATGAATAGTCTTCACAGGATGTAGCGAGGCAGGTATTTGTTCATGGTTGAAACAAGTCTATTCAAATGAAACTATGGACACGATCATAGAGATCTCTCAAAAGTCCTAGGTTGCCAAGTTAGCTACTTGTCTTGGTAACAAAATGCATAAAAAGTTGCAAAAGATGTTTCTCAAATCAGTTCTCCAAGGTGATTGGTAAATTTTTCGTCATGATGAACTCAGTACTAGAGCTAATGTTTGGTCATCATTGAGAGGGGGGGTGGCATGCGAGACGTGAAAGAGATGTGGACCTACCATTGGGGTATCATATTGAAGCAAGTGAAAAAAAGCTGCGTCCTACCTGCGTTGCGGATTAGCAACGGCCCAAGCAGAAGTGAAGCAAACACCAAGTAGTTGAACTGCGACGAGTTAGCAAATGGAACGTCGAATCAGTGATGCGGTGTGGGAATACCTCAATAGTATCAGAAAGTGTTAATTGTGTTCATGTCCAGCAAACACCGAAGTGAAGCCAGTCAAACAGTGTGAATACTTGACAACTCATCATGATATTGAGAGCGAAGCAACGCAAGCTGCGAACTAGGAACATGGGCAAAACCAAGCAATATTTACCTGCGTTGGTCCAGTCAGCACATCTGTAATGACCAGAAACGACGCAAGCCCGATGCCTCTCCAAAAAGCGACAAGCCGTTAACCACAATCAGGTGACGAATGATATCAACAAGAAGCCCCGACACCCAACACCACAGGTTTTGTACGACCTGTTTGTTTCTGGCGAGGAGCGTCGAGGTTCATTTATGTCCGCCCGTTCGTTCAAATCTTCCTCATGCGTGGTGCGGTGCGGGAGAGGGACACGGACGAAACGTCAAAACATTGAAGTAGTTTCTGTATTTACCTATCCAGAGTGAGTTAGCGACGAGTGCA